TGGCCCAGCGTCCCCATGGACCTTGAAGGACGGCTTGCTGAAGCACCGGGGCCGACTGTACGTGCCTACAAGTCTGCTCCGAGCCCTCATGAACCAGTGCCATGACAATCCTGCAGCGGGGCACTTCGGGTTCTTTAAGACCTTGAACCTGGTGCCGCAGACTTTTTGGTGGCCTAGGGTACGGCATGACATGCACGTTTACGTGACATCCTGTGTGACGTGCCAAAAGGCCAAATCCGCATCTGGCCAACCTCCTGGACTCCTCCAACCGCTGCCGACACCGGAGAGACCATGGGGTGCCATCTCCATGGATTTCCTGATGGATCTACCACTGTCCACCACGTTCACGACCGTCCTCGTGGTGGTGGACATGCTCACGAAGATGGCCCATTTCATCCCGTGCCGCGGACTGCCATCCACCCGCACCACGGCCCGTCTGTTCCTGCAGCACATCTTTCGCCTCCATGGCCTGCCGGACAGGGTGGTGTCGGACTGCGGGGCCCAGTTCACGGCCCGCTTCTGGAAAAGCCTGATGGCCGCACTGGAGGTGCAGGTGTGCCTATCGTTGGCGCACCATCCGGAGACTGACGGGGGCACGGAGAAGGTCATCGGCATCCTGGAGCAGTACCTCCGCTGTTTTGTCAACCAGCAGCAGGACAACTGGGCCGAGTACCTTCCCCTGGCGGAGTTCGCTTTCAACAACTCCCAACACACCTCCACCCAGATGACCCCGTTCCACGCCAATGTCGGATACCATCCACGGTTTTTCCCGTTGGCAATCCCAGATTCCCCTGTTCCCGAGACCCAGGACTTCCTCTCGGAGCTGCAGGCGGTGCAGCAACTGGTGCGACAGCAGCTGATCCGGGCGAAGGAGGACTATAAACGGGTCGCCGACCGCTCCCGACGGGCAACGCCACCGCTGGAAGTCGGAGATCGGGTGTGGCTGTCCACGAAACACCTCCCCACGGACCAGCCGGTGAGGAAATTGGACCACCGCTTTATCGGTCCCTTCCCAGTCGAGGCAGTCATCAACCCGGTGGCCTACCGGTTGACTCTACCACGCTCCATGTGGCTCCACCCCGTTTTTCATCGGTCCCTCCTGGTCCCTGAGGCCCCTGCGAGCCATCTCCGACGCCCGACAATGCCTGCCCCTCCAGTCGCAGCCGACGAGGATGACGCCTCGACGTACGAGGTGGACAGCATTCGGGACTCCCGTTGGCTGAAAGGGCGCTTCCAATACCTCATCGCCTGGAAGGGGTACGGGCCCGAAGATTTCAGCTGGGTGGACGCGTCTTCCGTTCAGGCCCCTGACCTGGTACGGGCCTTTCATGACCAGTTTCCGTCCCGACCACATCCCGACCGTCAGACCCGGGAAAAGGGCCCTGCGGTGGGGGATAGTGTTGTGGCTCCGTCCTGTGGGTCCCTCTGATCGGAGGAGGAAGGCTCTGAACATGAAGGAGAGGAGATGGCCAGGCCTCCCTCTCCAGGACCTTCCCCTCTGGTGCGGCCTTCGGTGCCTTCCGACAGAGAGGAGATTGACCAGGAGCCAGGTGCTTCTGGGATTGGCCAGGAGCCAGATGTATCGGACTCCGAGGAGGATACGTCTTGGCTGGATCCACGCCAGCGTCGGAGGGACAAGCGTGCGCAGCAGCTAAAACATCGTGCCAGAGATTTCAGCTGAGTCACTGGGCCACACCCCACAGGCTATATAAGCAAGGCGTGTGCCGTTTGAAACTCTTGTGATGAACAATTTTGCTGAATCTTATGTTGCAGCACTCCGGCAATTATCCTGGATTGTCTTGTGTTTGTATTGTGTTATCAGTAAAGGTCTTGGCAGGCAGCCATGGAGTTGCTGCCAAGTGTTTATCTGTATTTGGCAGTGCTGAGCAGTCTTTTAGCCCTCGGCTGACTGGTTGGGGTGTGTGAGTCGGACGGGGGATAGAACACTGCTCTCTGGAAACGAAGCAAAACAGCCTTTAAACGCTCAGCCAGCACTTGTGGAGAGTCTCCTGCGATGAGAACGTCATCAAAATAAGAACATACACCAGGAATACCCCTCAGGGTGTTTTCCATTACACTCTGAAAAATGCCAGGAGCGACATTCACCCCAAACTGTAACCTCTTCACCCTGAAAGCCCCACGATGGGTGACAATAGTTTGGGCCTCAGCTGCAGCATCATCAACAGGCAGCTGTTGATAAGCCTGAGCCAGATCAAGCTTAGCAAAACTTTTTCCCTCCTTGAGAGAAGATAGAATGTGGCTCACTACAGGCACAGGATAAGCATGTTGCTGTAGGGCCTTGTTTAGTGTGCACTTGTAGTCAGCACAAATCTGGATGTCCCCGTTTGCCTTTAAAGGCGTTACAATGGGGGTTTCCCACGGGCTGGAATCTACAGGCTCTAGAATGCCTTGCTGGAGCAACTTGTCCAGTTCAGCGTCAATCTTACTCTNCCCTGATGGGCTGTACCGTTGGATCTAACTTAAGTGAAACAGGAGGTCCTGTGTAGGACCCTAGTTCAGAACTGAACACATCTGCAAACTCCTTGCATACGTCTGCAAGGGTCTGTGTTTGCAATTTATTTAGCCCTGTTACCTGAATTCCCAAGGCCTCAAACCAATCGAGTCCAATGAGACTCGTTCGCTCACCCCCTACAACCAACACGTCTAGGGGGCCTGCAAAATTCTTGTACTGTACCTTAAGGGTGGCCTCCCCCTTAACGCACACTTGAGAATTTTGGAAATCCGTAAGGATTACATTAGAGGGCCTTAACGAAACTCTCTGGCCGCTGCTGCTGCAGATTTTGTGAAATGTGTTGAGGGAAATTATGGAAAGGGCAGACCCCGTGTCAAGTTCCATCGACAATGGAACTCCCTGCAATTTCACTTTAAGCGTTAGTTTCTTTTTAAGGGGTTTGTGTGTGCCTATTCTTAAAATGTTCCGGCGTGTTGCACAGAACCCCACCCTGTTTTGGCTGGGCACCCTGGTACCTTTCAGATTCAATTCTTCCTTCGGTTGTACCTTCTGTCGACCCAGGCAGACCACAGCGATGTGGCCCTTCTTTCCGCACGCGCGGCAAATGGCGGAACGGAACCGACATTCCGCTCGCTTGTGGCATCCACCACATCCGAGGCAACGAAGCTCAGCTGGGCTCTTGTCCTGACGATCTTTGGACCTCCTCCCAGCTGCTTGGTAAAGCTTGTCCACCTCTTCTTCAGGATCTTCTTCCGAATCCTCGCGCACGTCTTCCTTGTGAATAGTGGCAGTCTCTGGAACGTTTCGCTTAGGCCGCATGTTCTTGACTGCCCCACCGGCAGCTTCTTCAGCCGAAACCTCTCGCAGAGCATCTTGGAAGGAGACATCTTCCCTGGCGAACAGCCTCTGCTGTAATTCTGTGTTCCTCAGTCCGCACACAAAACGATTGCGCAGTCTTTCCTCTAAGTCCTTGAAGTCGCACGGTTTAGCTGCTCTTCTCAAGGTCGCAACGTATTCTTTTGCTGATTCTCCAACTCGCTGATCTCTCTGTTGAAATGTGTGCCTCCAAGCCATGACAGATTGCTTGGGTTGGAAATGTTCCTTTAAGGTTTTCTTCAGATCGGAGTATGATACCGTTTCCAGCGAGTCCGGGGCGATTAAGCTCTCGGCGATCTCAAAGGCATCTTGCCCACAAACGCACAACAATGTGGCAGCCTTTAAGCCTTCCTCCCGAATCTGGTTTATGCGGAAATACGTCTCGACTCTTGCAACATAAGATTCCCACCTCTCGAGGTGAGAGACGTTGAATTCCGCTAAACGCCCAACTTTCGCCATGATCGAGGATCAGGTTTTCTTCTTCAGCCGTACGCACCCTCCAGCGATTTCGTACTGGCAGGATAACGCTGACTTCCACGCCGTTTTCTCTTCCGGTCTTCTTTGGGTGAGTCTTCAAGCTTTCCTAGCTGTATAGACTGGATCCCACCTTCGTCGCCAGTGTTAAGTCCGGAGAATAATGGCGCTTGAGACGAAGCATTTCTAACAAGTCTTTATTCTCTGCTTCCATTCTACGAACAACCCGAGCAGAGGCACGCAGGCCTCTATTTATACCTTCTAATCCCCGGGCAAGTTCAACCAATCATGAGGTGGTCTTTTCCCGCCTTGCGCATGCGCACAAGGCCGGCGCCACTCAGTCTGGTCCCGGGCAGCCTTTGCAAATGCCCAGGACTCTTGCAACGTCCCGAGCCTGCTTTTGCAGGCTCAAGACACAACAAGGCATACCCAATTCCTGCAACCGCTCTTCATATATGTTATTCTCCAGCCCCGTAATCATCTTTGTTGCTCTTTTCTGCACTCTTTCCGGAGTCTCATTATCTTTTTTATATTGTGGTGATCAACACTGGATGCAGTATTCCAAGTGTAGCCATACTAAAGCTTTGAAAAGCAGTACTAATACGTCACGTGATGTTGATACTATTCCTCTGTTAATGCAGCCTAGTTCAGTGGATTTTGCAGATTGGTTCCATTACTTTTTTGAATGGGAGTAATCTTTAAAAAAAAATATGGTATAGGCTTACCTATTCAAATAAGTTCCTTAGTTCTTTTCTCATTTAGATATATTTATTGGGGAGACAAGCTGTCCATAACCAAAAGGGTACCCAGTTCAATAAATCTAAAAAGGCTTCAGGTGTAATCCCCATTCTGGGGGATAGGAGGGAATTGGGGAGATAGGATAAGCTACTTTCCCATCTTGGAGAATAACTGATGAGAGACAAATCTGCAAATTATTTTTCTTTCCAATACAGGGGAAAAAAATTCAGATCATGAATGTATTTAGATGATGGACTTAGATGACTATGTTTGTTACTTGATTGCATAACTTTTGACCAATCACTGTGTCTCTGCTCAATTTAGGGCTGTTTTTAATGGAACTGAATTGAGGGGAAAACCGTCAAATTACTGCAGTACTTCAGTATGATATCTTGCTTTTCATTGGAGCATGGTTCTTTTTGTTCTCTTCCCTATTCAGCTTTGATAAAGTTCCACATTTTAAATACACTTCAGTGTTCTGAGGCCATCATGGGTGGGGCAGTCTTTGAGACCTTGGAAGGCAATACAATTGAAATTGGCTGTGATGGTGAAAGCTTGATAATCAATGGAGTCAAAATGGTGAACCGAAAAGACATTGTGGCAAGTAATGGTGTCGTTCATCTCATAGATCAAGTGCTTATTCCTGATTCTGGTAAGTGAAACAGGAGTAAATTCAGTTTCATCTTTTTTCATATTATTGCTCACCAGACTGGACCAACAGCTGACCTAATTTTTGTCTCAATTAAGGAGAGTCATTTATAGCCAAAATTGATAACTATAATTCCTTAAATTTTATATGAAATATTTATTTGTGAAGTAAGGATTTTGAAACAAATCAAACCTCTATTTACCATTTTGTTTTCAATTTTAGCTAAACAAGTTATTGAACTTGCTGGTCCCCACCAAGCTACCTTCAAGGACTTGGTGGCTCAGCTTGGCTTGGCTGCATCTCTACGGCCAGAAGAAGAATATACCCTCCTAGCTCCATTGAATGGGGCTTTTTCTGGTAGGTGGGCCATATTAAAGTTGTGTAAGGATTAAAGAGTCTGGTTTTTTGTCAGGATTTGCAAACAACTGTCAGTTTTTAATAATTTTATCTACTGTTTTCTATTTTCATCACACTTTTTACATTATAATTATCAACCACTAATATTATGGCGTCATAGTGAGGATCATGATAAAAAAAATCAGCTCTTTCCTGATTACTTACGTGCTGTCTTTGCTTTGGCTTGATTTAAAATGTCAACATTTTCCAACTGAAATTGTAGTTTTTGAGAGATTAAGGTATTTTCATAATGTCTTCTGATTGCCAGTTAATTTCATGGATACTTACATGTCCTACGTAATGGTTGTTATAATCTTTACCTTGAATGTTAAAGATGACTCCTGTTTTTCTTCTTTGGTTATTGGGTGTTTGGGTTTGCTTAACATAGTTTAGAGGGAGCAGAGACAACACAATAACAGCATTGGAGGAGATTTTGGAAGTTTTCTAGGCCAATGCTCTACTCGAGCAGGAGACCCTATACCATTCCAGACAAATTACTGTCCATTTCTTTTGGCGGGATCATAAGCAGGGAAAACAGTGGTATATACAAATCCAAGTGTATTGAAAAATAACTCACTCTAAACAAGTGTTTCATTACCAAAGTAATAATCAAATTGTTTACAAGAAGAGCTGGGTAAGAAATTAATCTGCAAACAAAAACACACTGCAGTAAGCCATAATGCTAAAAATAGAAAAGAAAAAAGAAACAGATTACCCCAAATAAGCATTCCAACTCAATAGATATCCATGCAACTCCATTTAAAAAGTGTTTAACTATACTACCCATCACAATGTAAATGTCAGATCTGCCCCAGTTATCCCCCTCAGGAAAATAAAACACTTGAATCCATCGAGTTGAATCAAAAGAACTTTTACTTAGAGAAACTGGATGCAGTAAAATCAGGAGGAATCTGAGGGTCCCTCGCAAAGCGTAAAGCAATTCTTTCAGTTTCCCAATTGCAACCCCCCAGACCATCCACTGGCAGCCAATGCAATGCAAAGGAGATGTTTTGAGAACTCCAAGGAGATGTTTTGAGATGCTAGGCAGACAACAGTTCACATTCAAGGTGTGATGGCCTTGGAACACAGTGAAAACCAGCTGGGAAGGAGCCCATCCCATCTCTGAAGACCTTCCCTAATTCCCAAGAGAACAGCAGAAGCAAAAAAAAATAATCCCAAGCATGCCATCCCCCTTTCCTCCTCAGCCCCATGGCAGGACACCAGAGCATGAATGGTGGGCCTGACATGCTGCCCCCTGAACAGCAATATTAGTCCTGTAGAACAAAACACAATAAAGGAAAAAAGAGGGTTAGCATGGCAGCTTACATAGGTGTATCAGGATATTGCTTATGAAACTGTTTAAGAAGGCTAGCAGCTTTAATGTGATGTTGATCAACCCATTCATTTTGGGATTCAGGAAAATTCTTCCACGCTACCAAATATTGAATCTTCCCACGATGTTTGTGTGAATCTAAAATATCCTTGACCTCAAACAGTTGTTCCCCCTCTATCATTAAATGCTCAGGTGTGATGGTAATTCAGATCTAAGGGGGGGGAGGTAATTTTGGTCTTTAACTAACTACAGTGGAACACTGGGTGGATTCATTGAAGAGATTTGGTAAAATTTAATCCCACCGTTACTGGGTTAATAATGCATTTGATGGGGCAGGGACCCACATATTTGGGTCCTAACTTTTTCAGTGGTTGCAGAGATTGTAAGTATCAGGTAGATAAGTAAACACATTCACCCACATTAAAGATTTTTGGTTCCATGCACTTTTTGTCACCTTGCTTTTTATATGCTTCCCTAGCATCTATAAAGGATTTCCTCACAACTGGCCAAGTATTCTGTAATTGGGAGATCCATTCTTTTAAAGAAGGCACAGGGGGATCACTCAAAAGCAGCTCAGGAATGGGAGTGAAGTCTTGTCCTGTAGCCACTCTGAAAGAGGTGAACCCTGTACTATTGTGTACCCAATTATTGTATGCCACTTCTGCAAATGGTAAGAGGTCTGTTCAGTTGTCCTGTTGACAATCAATATAGTACCTGAGGTTCTGTTCCAATACTGAGTTTGTGCATTCATAACCCCCCCCCCCATTGGTTTGGGGGTGGTGACTGGAGCTAAGCCCTTGATCAGTCCCAAGAAGGTTTAGGGATGCTTGCCAGAACTTGGAAGTGAATTGCACCCCCCTATTGGAGATTATGTGTTGTGGGGCTCCATGCAGTCAGTAGACATGTTGCACAAAAAGCTTAGCTAGTGTATGTGCCAAGGTAATTTTTTGCCATGGGACAAAGTGCACCTTCTTGGGAAACAAATCAGTTATAACCCATATAACCATATTTCCTGAGTTTTCTGGGAGTTCTACTATGAAATCCATGGAGATTTCTCTCCATGGTGCCTTTGGGTTAGCCACTGGTTGGAGGAGCCGTGAGGTTTTCCCCTGCCACTGCTTGGCAGAGGCACAAATCGGGCAACTTGCCACATAGCTTTCAATGTCTTTCTTTAAGGATGGCCACCAAAACTGCCTTTTAATTAAATGTAAAGTTTTTCAAAACCAAAATGCCCAGCAGTTTTTGAATCATGGTTTTTACTAAGGACCAGTAACCTCTGGCTTTTTTGTACATACAATTTAGCCCTCACCCAGGCTAGACTGTTCTGTATGGAACATTCATTTTTGTGATTTTGAAACCAATTGTCTTCCTGTAGTGAGGCTTTAAGAGTCACTGTGACGTTGTTGTCTATCTGAGGCTTCTCTCTCATTTGCACTCTGATTGTAACTGGAGTGCTCAGCTGGCATGATGGGATTAAATGGTTGGACCATGTTTGACTTGGTACAGTTATACCGAGGCATTCGTGATAAGGTGTCAGTCAGAAAATTCTTTCCTCCTGGGAGGTAGCGCAAAGTAAAGTTAAACTGGTTGAAGTACTGTGCCCATTGGACTTCCTTGGGCGACAGCCTCTGTGGGGTTTTCAATGCCTCTAGATTTTTGTGGTCAGTCCACACCTCAAAAGGCACCTTGCTCCCTTCAAGGAAATGCCTCCATGTTAAGAGTGCCCAGCATACGATGTAAGCCTCCTTTTCCCAGGCCGCCCATCTCCGTTCAGTCTCTGACAGTTTTCTAGATATGTAGGCACAGGATTGTGGGTTCCCTTGTTCATTTCATTGCAACAGTATGGCCCCTACCACTATATCACTAGCATCTGCCTGAATGATAAATGGGGCATTTGGATCTGGGTGTTTTAGAACAGGTTCAGCTGCAAATAAGCGTTTAAGTTCTTGAATACTGCCTGACACTCCATAGTCCATTTTAAAGGTTGGCTAGGTTTGGGTTTGTCTTCTCCTTTTGTCTTTAAAAGATTAGTGATGGGAAGTGCGATCTGAGCAAAAGATGGGATGAATTGGTGGTAGAAATTGGCAAACCCCAGGAAGCTTTGCAATTGTTTTCTGGTGTGGAATGGAGCCCAGTTCAGTACCGCCTGGACCTTTTGGGGGTCCATCTTGATTCCTTCATGCGATATGTGGTAGAGCCTAAATAGACTATTTTATTCTGGTGGAATTTGTATTTGGAGACCTTGACATACAACTTATAAGCTTTTAGTTTCTTGAGCATAGCTCTCATCAATTTCACATGCTCAGCTTTCATCTTGGTGTAAATCAATATGTCATTTAAGTACACCAGCACCCCTTTGTATAAGTGCTCATGCAGCACCTCATTAATTAACTGCATGAAGATGGCTGGAGCATCCTGGAAGCTGATAGGGAGGACTTTAAACTGGAAACACCCTAATGGACAATTAAAAGCAGTTTTCCATTTGTCCCCCCTCTTTGATACTCACACAATAGTATGCCTCCCATTGGTCCAACTTAGTAAAAATCTTGCCCTTCACCAAGTTGCCTAGCATGTCCTTCATTAGGGGCAAGGGGTAAATGTTTTCTATGCACACCCCATTTAACCCTCTATGGTCCACACACAGGCGAGGTGATCTATCTTTTTTCTCCTGAAACAAAACAGGAGCAGCCATTTGGAGTCGTGCTAGCTGGATAAATCCATGGGCAATATTCTTATCAATGAAAGAACACAATTCCTCTAATTCTCTTGGGGTCATCGAGTAGAGTTTTGGCTTAGGTAGTTTAGCCTCTGGTAAAATCTCTATAGCACAGTCTGTTGTTGGTGAGGGGAAGCTCATCTGATCCTTTTTCACTGAACACCTCCCTCAAGTCCCAGTATTCTTTAGGGATAGAGCTAAGGTCTCTTCCCTATTGTTGTACTGTGGCCCCTGCCTTGCAGCCCGCTGGAATAGTTTCCTGAACTTGTTCTGGGCCACATGCTAGGTAGGCTCATCAGATTTTTAGCAGCCCCCTGCTCCAATTTATGTAGGGGTTCCACTTTTTCTTTTTTTTAAAAAAAGTTTTATTTTTTTAACAGAGTTCAATATTAATTATTCAACAAAAAATGTGTTGTCTGAGTATCTTATTCACTAATACAAATTAAATTCCTAATCCCTAAATATTTTCTCTAACCATTGATAAAATAGGTCCCAAGTTTGAAAATATTCTGTTTCTTCTTTTTCTTTCAACCTTAAAGTAAGTCTGTCCATTTCCACACAGTCTAATATTTTTTTGATTATTTCTTTTGGTGGTAGTTCTTCATTCTTCCAATATTGTGCAGATATAATTCTTGCCACTGTTATCACATGTAGGATCAAATATGTACTTTGCTTCTCAAGTTTTTCTGGCATTATATCTAGTAAAAAAAATGCAGGTTTATAGTCTATGTGTTTCTCTAACATTTTTTCTAACCAAGTGTGGATTATTGTCCAATATCTCCTTGCTTTAACACCTGTCTACCACATATGATAATAAGTACCTGGTTTATGTTTACATTTCCAACATTTCTCTGACATGTTTTTAAACATTTTTGCTAATCTTGTTGATGGCAAATGCCATCTATAAAACAT